GAGGTCATTACGAAAACTCGTTTTGCGGACAGTCTCTGTAGTCGCGCAATCTTTCTTACGCAGTTTCATCCTGAGGAAAACTGCAATTTTCTTCGTCCGGGTTTGCTGGCTGCCAATTCGTGACTGCAACCAGTTCCAATTTTCGTGTTCGCAATTTTCAAGTTTCCGCGACCTATTTTTACTTGTATTTGTTTCGTTCTATTTTCATCCTTTGACCCTGTTTTTCTGCCATTTTATTCCTGTGGAAGCCTAACTGGCCTTTGTTTACACACATATCCCCCTACTTATATATGTTTTGAAGCAAGCTGTCTACGAGGTCTGTCAGGCATGCAACGTGAGTGAGCGCGAGGTATTCGCTGCACTAATTGCCAACGATCCCAGCGACCAGTTATGCGTGGCCTACCATCTCATAATTGACAACAAGTAAGCTGTTCGTAATTGACATCTCGGCTTTCTTCTACCCACTCCTCCCTTTTCGGCATGATTATCGTACCTGTCGTCTGACTTGACTTGAGCTCGTCTGCCTGCTGATAATTTATAGATTGTCATGCACACACCTAGCCTTTTGGTCAGAAAAAAAAGATTGTGGGGTATTGCCTCGTGCACCTCCCCGCATTACAGTATGCTATGGAATGTACCATCCACCGAGTCTAACTAATTGCGCTGGTTTGTCTGCAATGATCTGCGAGGTCCATCATCATCCGGACGAGTGGCGGTGACTTATGAGCGATGTGGATTATTGCGATGAAGAATTGCTCAGTACCGGACACAGTCACTCAACACACCCCATCATGTTCCAGTGGTGAGACAGTCAGGATGTCCGGAGCTGGATGTGTGTTCATTGGCAGAGGAAGCGGAGCCAAAGTCCACGTGTGCAACACGTGATGACACTACAACATTCACAAGTCAGACTTCGTCTACCCGGGTATCACGCCAGTGAGAATTGCCATAAATCTACGTTAACGAGTTCTTTCGGCCTGACTTTCAATCTCCAATACTGAATTATTTAATCACTTGGGGATTCTCCGAGCCATGACTTTTAGCTTATCTTAATAGTTTAAGTGCGCGTCGTATTTCTCGTAACCAGGAAAGTTTGTTTATGATTTGTCTCGCTTTCTGTTCCAGAAGTGCTACTGGGCCAGACCTTCTGGAAATAAGACCGGATCTGATAGATTTCATGTGCCATAAACATGTCCGACCCCCATTCGGATCTGATGGGACAACGTCTTTGGTTTTGGTTGCTCGCTGAGTTTATACGTTCCCGCATGGCCGTTTAGGCACAAACATTGCATAATTTATAGCTCTTTGAGCTTTACACAACCCCAATATCGCCGAGCAACGACTTACTGCCCACGTGCCTGTGTAGGCGCCTTCCCTGCGTTGCTGATTCCACGTGGATCTTGCTGCCCGTTCTCTCAGAGCCACAAGATTTGGGTAAACATTAGTGAAGAAGAATTATTGATATCGAAGGTAAAGTGGGACTGAATCGTGATTCAGAATGTGGGGGATGGCGTGCCAGGCCAAATCCTAGGGACATACAGTGAGTGGGCTAACTCATGAAATGTCAACCGTTTCGACAAGATTTATTGAGCAGGGTTGTAAAACTAATCATCATGCGGCATAATTATATAAAAACTCAGTTACCTCAGGATGCCGGCTTTCCAACGAACTTCATTCCGGCTGCATGCAAAAATTATGCTCTGTAAACAATTACCACTTAAGTAGCATGTACTTTTATCATTAATTTTCGATGCCCTTGCTAATATAACTATATTTCATGGAAAACATGCATACAAATATTCATTCTTTTGCTCTTTCGGTATAAAATTACGTCTTTTCCAACTTTATACTCAGAGGAAGGGTATAATTCGGTTCTAAAAAAGTTTCTCATTGTGAGATTTTTTAATACCGTGAAATGGCCGTTCATAAAACGTCATGTCTCTGCATTTACCAATGTAGTTGTAAAGTTAACAATATGGCTCGAATCTACTGCTAGATTTTTTGAAGCCCATATAGTCTCCTCTTAATGCCGTAGAGAAATGTATAGTTCTCCGTACGCGGAATATATACGGTTTATAGTTTGTAAACCCTGAATCAAGTGTAACGGCAGGTCGGGGTTCCGAATTATTCGGGAATTAGAAAAGTTTTTGAAAACCGAATTATACCCTTCCTTCGAGCATAAATTAGAAGAAGACGTAATTTTCTACCGAAAGAGCAAAAGAATGAATATTTTTATGAATGTTTTCCATAAAATTTAAGTGAATTTTTAAGGGCATCGAAGACCAATGTGAAAAATGCATGCCACATAAGTGGTAATTGTTCACAGAGCATAGTTTTTGCATGCAGCCGGAAAGAAGTTCGTTCGAAAGCCGGCATCCTGAGGTAACTGAATTATTATAGAATTATGCCGCACGATGATTAGTTTTTCAGCCCTATTTACTTATTTTTTTCGAAACGAAAACGCATTTCGGAATTTCAGTTGACATTTCATGAGTTAGCCTACCTACGATGCACTCTGAGGCAGTGCTGGCGAAGGCACAGAGGCGTCCTCCGATACGTTGTCGCATTATTTCTGGTTGTTTGCTGATGAGGGCATAGAAAGTGGCATGAACGCCTTTAACTCGATTGATCATGTCCAACCATGCCTTCATCTCATTTCGGGCAGGCGAAAGATTTGAACCCGAATTATTCGCTCCGATGTGGATTAGTGGCCCACTGTGCCATGGCCACTGATGTACACGCCTCCGCCCCCTCGGTTGTAATTGGACATATCCACATTGATAGTAGTACGCACCGGTTTTGCGTTGCTCTGGGCGGTGCATACTCAAATCTTGGTGAACGCTGCGCGAACAGTCAACATTCTGCCCCTGTTATTGGACAAGAAAGGCGCGTCTAACGCGCGTACCGGTGCGCTGTTTATTTTCAATTCCTGCACTTCAGATGTGGTCATTTGTCTCCCTTGCAAATCTTATCTTTCCTCCTGACGAGTATATTAATTTTTGTGCTTGGACGCTGTTATCTAGCTCTTTCTTCCAGTTCACACAGATGTTATGGTTGCGTGTTTTCGGCTCAGCCATTTTCTCAATAACAGTTAATCTTATACTAAGTAGCGGTTGCTCCATGGGATTTGAAGTATCGCCGATGCCATCGAGCGCTCGTAAAATGGCACCTCCTAAATGAATGCGTAGGATCGCAGTGGCCGCTATCTAAATTATAATTTGCATCCGAACGACTGAACTGCCTAGGAAAAGCTCCGCCTTTGATTCAGTTTGCGACGAAAACACTAGGCCAACTGCCATTCCCCCGTTATAATTCCAGTATTCGCAGGAGGGCGATCGCAAGCGATTGGCTGGTCATGTCTGAAGAATGCTGAAATAACCGCTAATCATAGGAATATCTGCGAGGTATTAGACCACGTATTTGAGTTTAGTTCTGGCTTTGGCAGGGCAATATGTATACGGGCCTGTCGGGCTGCAGGACTTTAGGGCCGAAGTTACCGTCAAGTTTGTGGCTCTAGACTCGATTTCACAACGCACAGAGGACTTCTGCCCAACTACGTATGGCTTTTTTGTCACTTTCGCGGAGACGCAGCATGATGCATCCGGCCGGTGTGCGTGGTTTCTTCCGTGCTGGTACTGGCCGTGGCCGCACCAACAATCGGAGGTTAACAAAACAGTCAATCGTCTCGGCTTTTTCGCTGTCTGGACTCCCTGGTATTACACGTCGCTGTGCCCTAAATCCCAGGGGATGAGAGCTGGAGTTAGGACAGGGAGGATTAGGCTGGCTGTTGGGGTTAGGGATAATAGTAGGACGCAGGAATAGTGACCTCCCGGGAATTTGGCGTGAAACCACCATTAGTATTGGGAGTCAATACTTCTGCCTCCGACTGAGAGAAGGAGGAGGACGCTTTCTGTATAGCCAACATTTAACACCTTAGTTTTTACAGCATTAGCCTTCAGGGTGAATCATGGAAAGAGGGATGCGGGTAAAGGGATGTTGCGCTTCTCCGAAGAACTTTTCGAGCAAGCTAATTTAATATCGACTTAGCTCAGATCCGAGACGGAGTGGTTCTGCCCTACCAGATCGCACTCGACGCAAAGGATTGCTGTACAGACAGGACCACTTATTGGCATAGTAAAAGAGGAATGGTTATGTAACAAAGCCTTGCCGGGTACTAGCGGTGACGACCAAGTGCTCGCTCATCTCAGTCTACCAGTTCGCCGCCTCACAGTGGGAGAAGAGGTAGACGTTGTCGGGTTGATGGCGCATTGCGTCCGAAGGTGTCCAACGAGACCGATTCGTGCGCTGACTGCGCGTTGACATCGCGGGCATGTTAGGAGCGACGGATGGCTGAAATTAAGGGGACGAGGCAGTTGTGATTTGTGAGCCTCCGCTTTGGCTTTGACGGCGGCGGCGATCCGATTTGCTTCGCGGTTGACAGCACCGGTCTTAACTTCTCATCTCTAGACTGGGATGTTCTGAGCAAAGTCCTCCTAGGCCTCTGGATTGATATGCAATCGTTAAAAGAATTCCTGAATGTGTCCTTGTAGGCTCGTTTTGGTCTTCTGCTGCATGTCTTCTTCGGTCGTGCAGTTAAGTGCGCAGTCGTCAGCGAAGAACATATCGTGGATAGCAGTTGTGAAGGGGCGCGTCGGGGTATGCATTCGTGGGCTGTTGAGAAGGTGCCCGCCAATCCTGTAGTCGATGCGGACCCCGGGGCGCTCATCACGATAGGCGTTTATCAGCATGGCAGAGAACATGAGGCTGAAGAGGGTGGGCGTGAGGACGTAGCCCTACTTCACTCCATTGGCCACTGCGAATGCCTCGGAGATTGCGCCGTTGTCCATGACACACGCCATCATTCCATTGTGGATCTGACGTACTATGTGCGTGAGTCGCTCGGGACAGCCGCACTTCTGCATAATTCTCCACAGTCCTTTGCGATTCGCCGTGCCCAAGGCTTTCGTAAGATCGACGAAGGTGGTGTAGAGGTGAGTCTGCATCTCCTGGCACTTCTCTTGTAGCCGGCAAACGGGAAAGATTATATCAGTGGTTGCACGGTGTGACCGGAATCCACATTGGCTTTCGGCAGAGGTCCGTGCTCTAGGTGGCAGTTGAGACGATTGAGGAGAACGCGGGTGAACATCTTCTCAGCGATGTTGCGTGACGAGACACCCCTGTGATTTCCACAGAGTTGCCGGTTCCCTTTGCGCTTGTACAAAAGGACGGTAATTGCGTCCTTGAAATCCTGAGGAACCCGTTCTCAGCGTCACATCTGATAAAGCGCCGTCAGATGGTCCATCCGTTTGTGGCCACCGTGCTTGCAGATCTCAGCTGGGGTCACATCGGAGTCGGGTGCTTTCCCGCAGGAGAGTTGTTGCACGGCGGAGATGGTTTCTGGGAAAGAGGGCGCGAGATCCAGGTCGGTGTTGGTTTCCACTTAAGGGGGCCGGTTGATGGCGGCGTCTGAGATTGTGGAGGGGCGGTTGAGGACGGTTCTGAATTGCTCGGCCCAACGCTTCGGAATCTGCGACTTCTCCGTCGAAATCGTTGATTCATCGGAGCTGAGGAGAGACCCGGTTTCTTTCGTTGGGAGGCCATAGATCGCCTTGATCGCGGTCGGCATATCTCTGGCTCTCCTCGGTATTGCGATCCATCCAGGCGTCCTGCATTTCTCTCAACTGTTGCTGCGCAAGCCGGCGACATTGATACAAGGCCGCTTTGTTCGCTTCGGTCGGACAGTCGAGATAGGCTCTGTGCAGCCTGTTGTTCTCGACCAGTAGGTTACTGATGTCTGCGTCTGTACCGTCGAACCAGTCCTGATGCTGGCAACGCGCGCGACCGAGGACAGCCAGGGCGATCGATGGAACAGCGTCCCACGTTTGGCACCATCGGGTCTCCACGGAGGCGTTTTAATCTGCTGCTGGCAGGTCTTCCAGCCGCTGGGTCAGTTGATTGCTAAAATATAAACGGTGAGCAGGCAGACAAAACAGCAATTTTCAGCTTGCCTGGGGGTCGCTACGTTATGGCCTTCTGCAGGGTTGCAGACGAAGCTTCTTCTTGGATATGACGAGGCGATGGTCCGCCCAGTCGTCAGCGTTGCAGCTCGCGTTGGTCACCATCATTTCCTGCCGATCTCGCCGCCGGACGAGAACATGATCCAGCAGCCGCCAGCGCCGCGATCGAGGGTGCATCCAGGTGGACTGCTTACACATCGGCAGGCGGAGGAAGGTGTTGGTCAGCAGGAGGCGGTGTTCAGCGCAGGTTCGCAGCAAGAGTAGGAGGCCATTGTCGTTGCATCCGGCGATTCCGCAAGGAACCGGCACTCCTCTTCAGGCAGCATAGCCCGTGCCGATGGGGGCGTGGAAGTCACCAAGTAAAATCAACTTATCCGCCTCCGGCACAGACGCCTGGATTGCGTAAGGCATTCGTAGAACCTGGACACCGTCCCGTCTGAACCGGTCATTGTTGGGACGTAGGCGCTGATGATGGCCGCAAAGTTGGATCCCCGAAGAGGCAGACACAGCTCATCAATCGGTCGTTGACGTCCTGCCGCTTCCAGGACAGTCATCCCACGATGTTTTTTCCGTATTGCAAAGGCAACGTCCCCGTCTTGGCGCTCTGCCCTGTGGCAGCCATTCCAAATAAAGGTAAAGCCGGCACTCACCTCCGTAAGTTGGTCTTGTTCGAAGAAACGGGTCTCGCTGAGAGTAGCATTGTGAACGTCGTAGCGAGCCAGTTCCCGAGCCACTAGCGTCATCCAGGTTGCATCTGGGTTTATTTTGTGGCGTCTTGCGGGGTTGCTGATGAGTCCTCGTCTTGGAGATGGCAATGCGGGGATCCGTACGTTCAGCGGCGGTGAGAGAGGGACAGAATTACTGTGTGTGGAGATGCACACGCGGACGACCTCACCGGATTTAGGCCGTCGGTCGAGGCGGTTACCGGGGTGTGACCGCTGGACAGAGTCTGCCTTCGGGGAGCTACATACATGGGATTTGGGTGCCAGTTATTGGACGGTAGGCGTAGTCAACACCTGCAAGCAAGCGAGAGACCGACTGCGACCTTCACGTGGACCAACAAGTGGACACCCCTACACCTCAAGCGAACAGAGGTACACCTTTGTTGACGAATAAGGATATTGAATGTGTTAATAATGCATGATAACGCCCATGTAACTTTCTTCCATATCGTTTGAAATGAGATTGTCTCGGAAGCACCAGCCTGTAGAGTGGAGTGCTAGCAGCAGGACATAAACGCATGTGATGTAGGTCAGGACAGTCTTTCGTCATCAATCATTTTCACGGCCGATCTTGCAAAGTTTTGTTTCATGCTACTCATTTATACTCGTAGGTCGCTGTCTGTAGTCCAGACCTGAATTACTGTCTCAGCTCCGCCGGCATATTGTGTTGTTTCAATGCATACAAACTGTGGACCAAAAGAGGGTGGTCGAACGTCCTAAGTCTTCTACATCAAGTCTCTGATGGGTAGGGTGAGGATAGGTACGACCTACCTGTACAAAGGGAAGTATCCCTGCCCTTATATTGCTGGCTTTAGAGCTTTAGTTGGACGAAAATAACAAGAATATTTGTGCATATGTTTATGGGAATTTTTTATAGGCAAATGAGTTGTCGGTAAAGATGATGCAGTCATGTCTCACTGCATAGTCTTTGTTAAAATTAGATGGATGACGCTTGTCGACAAACACCGTGCTACCTGAGTAACAGGAAGTAGCGTACGCTAGTTCTACTTTGCAAATACAAAAAAGATCGAAATCTCCCTGTCGCCGAAGAAAAAAGGGGAAGCCTAGTGCTTGCAACCGAAGCAACTGCGGACAATTTCTGTGCATAGGATTTTCCAGAAATTGGACGTTTCTTTTTTCGTTAGTTCGCTGTTCACTCGAGCATACCTCTGACCTAGAGTAGCACAAAGATTTTTAAAACAGTTTACCGCGTCAGATTGGCATTTTTCTTTGCACCTGCGTTTTTGACACTTGCTGTATGCCGTTAATCTTTTGTGCAGTTCGACTTTAGAAGTTGGGTTTTCTTCAATAACACTGGCTTGAAGAGCTCCTTGAGCCAGTTGTCCCTCTAGGCGCTCACACGTTTTCTCTAAGGAGTGGTCCATTTTGACACTTGCTTTTGCAGGCGCTTTGGATCTGTCCTCCAGCCCGAGGAGGTGGACAACTTCTACGTGGCCACTGGGACCGATGTTTACTCAGGTACGGGTGCCGCTGCGGGCAGTGGTGGGGGCGGTGGCGGCGCCGGCGGCGGCGGCGTCATTGGCGGTGCTGGCGGAAGTGTCCCACTTGGTGGGATTTCTGGATCCAACAGTCTATCTCTACAACAGGCCTCTGCCAGCGGTCTCTCGCCTAGCCGACCGCATCCCGAGAGAATGCCTGAAGGTCCACCTTTGACACGGACCCTGGACCCAGTAAGCATCCTTCACCGGTATTTGAAAGTATCCCGTTTTGCTTTTCCCGTCTTCATTTGCTCAGTTGCTTTCTCTTCTAGCGTCGTTTGCGGTGTGGAAAGTCCTGTGGCATCTGCCTGTCGCATTGGCGTAACTGGATTTTGTATAGTGATTACCATGCGCTAAAATAAACATGCAATTGTTGTGGTGAATGTAGTTTGGGAGATACAGTTTGCGTATGCAGTACTTTTGTTTGTTCTATAGCTTTGGTGACCATCTCTTTAAAATAACTATCACTCAGGTCTGCTTGGAAGGACGACGTCCAAACGAATTCGAAGTGCTCAGGCGTATACTTTTGCAATAACTTGTACTTAAAGTGTCTTTTTACTATGGCCTTGTTCCTTCAAGGCATTGGTACAGGGTGTTACGGGTTTTGGCTGTCGCTCTTTCTGTCACACTGCGTTTCACGAGTTGTCATATGTAGACACGGTCATACAGGGAAATTATTCAGGCTCATTTTCGACTTCCCCTGATTCTTAATGTAACCAGCAAAGTGCAGGACGATCAGGACTGTTGCCTCGGCTAGGTACGCAACTTCGTCCAAATTGTGAAGTCTTATATCAGGATTTTAAAAGCCCCATGATGCCCGGCTACGCCTGCCTAATTTGAGAATGAGGTTCTCTTCTTGGCATATACAGGGTACTACCTAAACTTGATGATTGAATCTCTACGTTTGCGGCTTGATCGCTGCAATGTGCCGACGAAGTTATGGCCACTTACTTGTACTTGCTCGTACTTGGTACTGCTTTGATCATGCCTGATCTAGCCGGCCTCGATGATGTCCCGAGCTCTACCTCTCCACGCGTGACGAATCGCGACAGCAGATCTGGACAGTTTAGTCCAATCTTTTCGCCAACGATGGAGACCGAATACCGAAGATCCAGGAAGCACTTCCATGTCATGGCGAACGGTGTCAAGCCACGTTATAGCTACCAGAATGCAGAAGTGGAATCGTATGATCATTTCGACCAAAATTCCCCAGTTCACACTGCGGACGCGAGGGCTGTCATGCTGACACTTGTCTTTCATCTGCCTAAACCTTGCCATCCCACTCTTCCCACTGTCTCACTAGGTGGGCTCTCCTACAACAAGCTCCGGACCAGTTGGCATTGCTGGTGCCGGCGGTCAGCAGCAACAAGGCCAAAAACAACAGCTCTCTCCCACCGTCACCAATTCGGCGGCATCAGCGTTGGCGGCTAACGCAGTGGTCGCCGCAGGCACGAAACGCTTCAAGTGGCATTTGGGCATCCGATCGCAGTCACGGCCTTGGGACATTATGCAGGAAGTCTTCCGGGCCATGAGCACCCTGGGTTATGAGTGGAAAGTTATTACACCCTTCAACATCCGTGTGCGCAAGTGGAACCCCGTGCTGAAGCATCACTTTAAGATTATGCTTCAGCTCTACCAGGTGGGTGACACATGAGTGGGCCGGTAAACTAGTCCTGCCAAGTTATTTTCTGCTCGAAGGCCCTTTACGTCTAGGGGAATTGCCAATTCCTGGCTTATTTGCCTCCGGAGCTGTAAGGCAAAGCGGAATCGTCTTCATTCCGCCCTACAAGTAGGCCAGATAAACTAACACCAGTCCCTCTTTGAATTTTTTTGCTGTTTTTGGATTGTATTGCTGCTTGAATTGTGCACAGTACAGGTTCGCCTAATGCTGTCTGTTCGTTTCATTGTTTTCCCATTCACCGCAATAGGTCCCTCGTGTCGTCTGCCAACGGCTTTGTAGAAACCACGAATAACTAGCGAGCTTTCGTTGGATAGGTTGTTTGCTAGTTTTGTTAGTTTTAGATCATTTGCAACCTATGCGGTGCTCCAAAAGCTCGTTCGGATATCTGATATGAACTCCTGGATTTTGTCATTATCTGCTCCCGTTGTTTGCATGCGCGAAACCGGACCTACTTTTGGCATGTATCAGACCCGTGCTGTGGAAACTGAGTATCTGGACTCATGAACCCATTGCCAGCGGAAGGACCAGAGTGACAAAGGGATTATCCGACAGTCGTCAACTGCCCTATAATGGACTAGCTTGTACGTCCTTAGATGAGAGAGAGAGAGAGAGAGAGAGAGAGAGAGAGAGATGCGCTTTATTTTGAAATCGTAAGTTCAAAATTTTCAGCAAAAAATTGGCTCCATTCACTGTGGGCAGTAAATAAGTTAAGAGATTATTCAACAGTCAAAGAAACGATTATTATGGGGATAGTTCAAGTCTGAGCTTCTGTATTTCTGTCTCTTCGCACGTAAGATAGCGCGCTAGGAATGGCAATACAGAGGCTCGATAAGCCGATGTGCGACAGGGTATAAGATGGAAGTTGCGGCGCATCGGGCGGGAAGACTTGGCAGACATAAGATCGGAATGTAGGGATGGGCAACGTCATCTAGAATTCGACCAGCAAATTGCTTGACCGCATTGAAGTGTCGTTGTAAGATTGTGTCAACTAAAAAAAAAATATAAGAAACGCTAGCAGCAGAAGAGAGCATGCGGAGGATTCGTTTCAAAATTAAAAGATCCTTTTTTAACAAAGCAGGGAAAACGACAGGAGAACAGTATAGGATAAGAGGATGAATGCAGGCATCAATGAATCGCCAGACTAAGGGTTGAGGTGTGTGGTAGGAACGCAAACGACGAATGTAGTAAAGAAGTTTACGAACTTTAATAAATAGGGACTCAATATGGAGGGAAAAAGAAGGATTTGAGGACAAAGTAACGCCGAGATCCCTGAAAGAGGATACCTCATTAGGAAGAATGTCAGAGGAATCAGGGTTAGGAGAGGGCCGCAGTCGTAATAGACACTGAACGGATTTTCGGTTGTTAATTAGGAGACCATTTTCCTACGACCACGCTAGGACATGGTTTAGGCCATCCTTTAGAGACCGGAGGTGTGTCTGACTTTTGAGAGGGTGTCCAACAACCACATACTCATCATACTTGACCAGAAGAGAGTCATTAGTGGACCTTAGATCGTCAGTGTGGAGGGAGGAAAGGTGAGGGGATAGAATGGAACCTTGAAGAACACCGCAGTCATTGGGAAGGGTCGAAGATTTCCGTTTGCCAGATTGGACAAATTGAGTGCGGAAGGTAGAATAATCGCTAAGCCAAGAGACGACCCAGCCTGGAGAGCCACATGCGGAGGTTTTGGAAAGGAGAAGAGGGCGCGGGACGGTATTTAAGGCGGAGGAGTAATCAAGAAAAGCGCACGCATACTCGCGGCAACCCTTGTCTAATGCTTTTAGAACAGAGTGGACCACAAGAGCGACAGCATCTAATGTACTCCGTTTGGCTTTGTATGCAAATTGTAAAGGGTCGGAAAAAGTGGAAGAAAAAGGCTTTATGATATCTAGGGCAACTCTTTCAGCAAGCTTTAGTATTTCAGAGGAGCAGGCAATCGGACGAAAAGATTTAGGACCAAAGTTAGCGGGCTTTATTGGGATGGGAGTGATTCTCACTGTACGCCGGGCGTCGGGAATCTTGGACTCCCTGAAAGACATCTTGATTAAGTGCGTTAAAATAGGGGCTATCTGAGAACTGCAAGATTTAGGAAGAAAAGGCGAGACACCATCCGGTCCGGCAGCTGTTGATCCACGGACCTTTTTAAGGTGTTTCTCTACTGTTGCCAAAGACACGGGTTGGAATGTACTCGGTGATAGGGGAAAGTCTTCTAAGGGAAGATGGGAGTCATTGTGACTAGATAAAGATTTTCTATCTGTTCGAAAGCAGTATAAGAATGGGGGAGTAATAAGTTGCGAATCAATGTCACTATTAAGCCACGTCTCTTGAAGGCAA